ATTGCTCCACAGTCACCCTCACCTACCATCTGGGGCTGGTACAATAGGCCAGAAGTGGCCGCAGTACAAAGGACTTAGTCCCACCCCACTGGCAAAAAAAAAAAGACCAATATCATAACGAACTGATTAGGTGTGATCAGATGCAAAGCGAGTGAGATAGAAAAATTATGTTAGGAAAAACAGAAACTAAAGAGAATAAATTAAGAACTGTACACATGACATAATGGTTCAGGTGCCTTTGCATTGTTATTACCGGTGACTTTTGAATGGTTAAATTCCAAATTTTGATGCTGTTCCATAAACAAAATAAAACTTGTGTAAAGTGGATGAGGGTGATATGGACAGGATTAATTTGGCTCAGGATAGGGACTAGTGGAGGTTTCTTTTGAATACGGTAATGAAAATATTGGGAAATTCTTAAGTAGCTGAGCGACTGATGGTTTCTCAAGAAGGTCTAAGCTCCATGGATTTAGTTGCTTGGTTAGTTACACAGGTAGATGAAAGTATCTGAAATGTGTATTTCCACTTCATACGCAAGAAACTAATCAGGGATGAAACCAGGAGAAATGAAAATAAAAAGGATTTCTTTTGATTTTCACAAAAGCGTCTCTTTGTTGAAACAGCAGTCATTTTTTTTTCGTGTGAAATTAGCTGTTGCGATCTAGAAGACAAGGCTGACTGCAAGGTCAGTAGCATTTTAATTACTAGGGGCTAAATTCAATCGTAATAATTTACATTACTTAATCCGCTCCTCATACGCCTTACGGTGTCGAGGTTTTTTTTTTTTTTCATTTTGGTCATTTTACAGACGGTAGGACCCATTGGACGAGTGATCAGCTCGTCGCAAGGCCTCTACCTAAACACAGAACAACACAAACACAGAATAAACACATACACATACCAAATATCCATGCCTTGTGTGGGATTCGAAACCACGATCCCTGCTTCCGAGCGAGCGAGGACAGTATATGCCTTAGACCGCTCGGCTACCGTGACCAGCCGGTCACAATATCGAATACTGAATTTTATGAGATATAAGTTTATAGAAGTTCTAAGCAAATATTTTAATGAAAATGACGATAGACTATTACTGGCAGAATGACCTACCGTCAGAATTAGTAACACCCACTCCAAATCTTGCACACCCAATCGCATCCAGCATCATTTCTGTTACTGCATAGAGAAGAATGTATATATAGGGATGTGTTGCCTAAACTCAGATCTAATTGTTATTTAGGGCGAGGGTACACCAAGGAAACTGGCAACCGCAACGCAACCGCAATTTCTTAGAATTATTATCAGCCTGATTTGAACACATGTTACTGACTGGAGCAGCGCAGCGGTTGCCAGTTTCCTCAATTTGTGCTGCTCCATTCAGTAACATGTGTTCAACGGNGAATGACCTACCGTCAGAATTAGTAACACCCACTCCAAATCTTGCACACCCAATCGCATCCAGCATCATTTCTGTTACTGCATAGAGAAGAATGTATATATAGGGATGTGTTGCCTAAACTCAGATCTAATTGTTATTTAGGGCGAGGGTACACCAAGGAAACTGGCAACCGCAACGCAACCGCAATTTCTGAGAATTATTATCAGCCTGATTTGAACACATGTTACTGACTGGAGCAGCGCAGCGGTTGCCAGTTTCCTCAATTTGTGCTGCTCCATTCAGTAACATGTGTTCAACGGAGGCTGATAATAATTCTCAGAAATTGCGGTTGCGTTGCGGTTGCCAGTTTCCTTGGTGTGCCCTCGTACTTAGACTAAGAGACTTTCGTAATGCTGGCGCGTGGCCCGAACATAGTTGTTGATTTATTAATGTAAAAGTAGGGAAACATGCCAATTTCTGTTTAATTATCTCAGAAGCCAAAAAAAATAGTGCACTGGGTACAAAATATGAGCTTTCTTTGTGTCTAGTCTGCCAATAATATTCGAAATATTTTGGGCTCCAATAAATACTTAACGAATTACGTTCGTAATATATTGCTCAGAAATATAAGTCAAGTCTTCATGCTTTCTGCTATTTTAGTTCTATTGTAACCAGCATTGAGATATATAGATATATTTCAGTAAAATTCCACAATACCAAATTTCATGAAATTCCGTTCAGAGGATCTCAAGTTGTTCTACGCGTGGTACTACATGCAGATGGATGGACGGAACGAATTTAATAAGCGCTCCCCAAGCTTGCGTCACACCTTAAAACTGGATAATTGCTAACTGTTCCTGAATCAAAGAAGAAATATTTACAGCAATCCCTCACCAATTGCGGTTTTATCAACCACGAATTTCAAGTCAACAATTGGCGGTTATCCATTTTTATTAAATTTTGCCAACCGAATTGTTTCCATATTTCCGAAATTTTTCAATTCATGTTCAGATGGAAAGGTCAGTGACTTCCACGTGAAGAGTTTCGCATTTGCAGGAGGCAGGACTCAAGTGGGAACCGAAACCATTTCTCTAGCTTCCGAAATACCATTTTATTTATTTACATAAAATTAGCATTCAGAATTACACAGAATACCAATGTATTACGTTTTTGTGACCCTTACCACCCAGTCTTTCGAAACCCTGGCAGAGTCCGTGGTAAGTACTTTGTACGAGATTGTATCTGTCTGTTGAAAAACTTAATCCGGTCCTACAACCCCCCCCATCCCACCCCCCACCACGGTTCACAAAATGAATAACCAACGCGATTATTGTCTCATTATTTATGCAAATCGCAATAAAAACAATTACAGGAATGCAAAATAAAAAATTTGGACAATTTTCGCGTATCCTTATTCCAGCTAAAGATAGAATACAGAAGTTATAACTAAATTTATTCTGAATACAATTATTTCTTAAGCAGCGAAAAAAAACAACAGACTCCGTGGCCTGTAGTCCGAAAGCGAACTATACCAACCGAGCGACCTCCGCTTGTCGGCGTAGTTAGTACCAACTTTTGCGGATAGAGGCTGTCGCGTGGTCATCGCAACGGACCCCACAGCCATTAATCNAATAATAACAATTCAATTCAATTCTTTATTATTAATGTGCCGAGTCAACAGCCGCAAGGCCAATTACAGACTCAGCACAGTGTAGATGACTGAATTACATTACATACAAACTTATTAAAAGTCAAATACAAATTACAGTTAAGTAATTGGAAGAAATAATAATGAATAAAAGTAAAAGTAAACAAACAAATAAGTGATAATTATAACAGTAATAATAATTCCATTATCATTAAACTAAGTGCTATTACGAATAGAGGAATGAAACATCAATATTTAATTAAGAATTGAATAGTATAGATTTTCTGAGGAAAATTACGTAATTCATTTTGCTTTACTGAACATGCAAATAATAAAAATACTAACAGTTACACTGTATTTAAAATTTGTTTGGGTAGAATATTCAAGGCTCCGAATACGTCAACCTCCCTGCAGACAACATTAGCAGCTGCTGCGCATCTAGCAGAGGGACAATTTTTAAATAAGGAGCAAACATTGAACAATGCAAAATCTCTGATATACCGAGAAGGAACTCGGAGACCAACAATTTCCAGGGCAGAAGGGCAGAATTTAGAGCCAAAATAAACTTGAATAAGAAAGAGAGCATCAAGGCGATGTCTCCTAGTACATAAAGTATGTAATTTTAACTCCTCAAGAGCAAGAGAATAACTGTAGTAATAATGAGTAATAATTAGAGAGCATGTATTAATTAAAACGTCTGTGTTCATCAAAAGTCATTCAACATAATGACAGCGATCCACGTACAATCATGGGTACCAAAGTACATCCTGTGCCCCACTGTGACAGCTTTCTGAATTGTGACGTAACAACCACTACTGCATCTAAGCTAGATATCAGACACAAAGGGTGTTCATCTGTTCCATATTCTCCACTCCAATTTTCCGAAAATAATTGTTCCTTTTAAGTTTGAATATATTGTAAATAATATTGTGACGTGCCGCCTAAAATCCGGAATATCGGAGTCTGCTGGCGTCCATTGCTTGACAACGGCTCAGTAGCTATGTTTCCCATACAATAAGAAACAGTGAGTACCTCGTTGCCTAGGTGGCAATTTCAAACACGTTCCCGCGCCAACTGCTTACCATGGGACTAGTATACATGAACTTCCATGGAAACACTCGGCTAGGCAAATAAGTTACGGAAAAAATTGAGGTGTTTCCGTGGTAACGCATGCATAAACAGCAGATTACCACGGAAATGAAATACTAAACTGTTCGGGGAAGTGTCTGGTATTTGGTACGCCAAGAACCTACCTCAGGGAGATTACACCAGATATAACCAGATCAGAGAGGGTGGACTAGTCAGATCTCATCGCCTGGATGAAGTCACGTCAGAGTGACTTGAAGTGTAATCGTGAACGAGGTATCCAAAAAACAGCTTCGTCTAAGTCGCAACCCAGTAATTATTTGTCACGGAACCCCGGACACGTGACAATATTTTAGTATTCGATTCTTATGTGAAATAAAATACACTGTATCTCTGTTACAGTGAATGATTAATAAGTTGTAAAGAAATTGTCCTCTTTTTATATGACACGACACAGCAAGGCCTCGCTCTTTTCCGGCCCGTCGTTCAGACCTCTGTTTACAAACGGCGCCATAAAGTCAGAAATGAAATCTGTATATCCATGACCGAGTAGGATCTGAACAGACGACCCAATGTTCCGAGAGTAGGAGTCAGTGAAAGTCTTGGAAGACGCGGCCACCGCAAACGGGCTGAGGGAACAACGGCAAATTTATTATGAGAATAAGCGACAACCTTCTGAATAAAGAGGAAATATGAATGAATATTAACACAAAGGATACAAATGTTTACCGGTGCGTTATGAACAGTTCAAACAGAGTATTAACCGCTTCTAATACTTCGCAATTTATTTACTCCACCTCTAATATCCGTCTCCCTGTATTCTGCTAAAACAGTAACAAAGAAGAAATCAAATTTGAAAACTAATTTCAGAATTCTACCAGAGAACTATACCTTCCAGTGTCTTGTTGCGGGACAGCAAAGCGAGGAGAACATCCGGGTTTGGAGGCCCGGGAACCTCTCCAGGGTCCAGGGGACGATGCAGATGTTGTGGGGGCGGCGGCGGCGGTGGAGGCGGTGGCCTACTCCCCAAATGTTGAAGTGGCGGAGGACCTCCCATTAGGGCCGCCATGGCCGGGCCAGGAGGCGGCAGACCGTGAGGCGCCAACCCTGGGGGCGGCCCCTGCACGGCGGCCGACATAGAGAGGTCCAGACCTGGCGGAGACAACGTGGTGATGCGGGGATTCAAGCCCGGACACTGAGCAATACGAAGTTTCTCTGCCTGGATAGCTGATGTCACAGAAAACGCATGTAATTTTGTCTTTTGATTTGGTTTTGATATACACTTATTTTGTGTTGTTTTTAACACACGTTCAAATTTATAATTATATCCATTCTGTGGGATCACCGAAAACTGGGGCGGAAGACAGACGTTAAAATCTGTTCAATTGTGGTTTATAAATTGTATTTAGCCGCTCAGTGACGTCTTACTGACATTTAAATCTTCTTAAGTCTCCTTAGTTTCGAACACAAAATCCAGAAATTTATTTTCTTCAAGCGAATTTGTATCTCACTCTTACATTAGAGAAAATGTTTGAAACTCGTTGAAACCTGGCGATTTAGAGCAATCAAAAACTGTTCCGTATAATCATGTGAACTTAATTCCAAAGATGAGATATGACAGTCTTTCCAACCAATTTCACTCTCTTTGTGCTCTGTAAGCTACAAGACTGTACTAACTTTATCACAATATAAACTCACTACTACGATATAATCCAAAGAATTGAATTCAAGAAACAATCTCGCGGTTAGAGTCAGATCACCCTTAAGTAAAGCCGAGAGACTTTGTGTGCATAAATATTATTTATTCTAAAGCGGCACGGATTTGGACACTTTCGTACGCAAGCTAGCAGAAGTGGACCGGATATCTAGAGCTACGTCACCGGTGAACAGTCTTGCATTTCGCTCTGCTGAACCTGAAGGTAAGTCTGAACGTTCTGAACCTACTGTTCAGCATCACAATTGTTCAAGTGAAGAACAACAAAACTGAGGTGTGACAAGAAACATATCCCTGCTTTCTGTTCGACCAGTTTAACAGTGACGCAATCATGTTTGCAAAAAATATATTTCTTACGGATATACGGCACTCGTACAGTCAGTCTAACGCCAATTTACACACGCCATTATCAATAAAGTCATTAGTTTTAAAACACACTTAAAAACAATTTCTTACGATGCCCAATATTGTACAAATACCATATTACCTAGAACATATTTCACAGTTAATTATTCTGTTACAGGCTTGTTTTAAATTTCCCGGGACACTTGTTCACATTTCTTCACAAGCACACATGAACAAAGAGTACTACGTGTTGCAGATTGCATACATCCCAACGTGCTCGACGTTTCTCAGTTGTTTATGTATTGTTGAGGAGATGATGGACGCCATGTCAGTGGTTGCCCCCTGCAGTGGCACACGCTAGCTCCAACTGCGATCCATACTGTTTCACCAACTCCTGCCAGCTCTGCTTCCCTCCCGACGTGTGCTATGTGTGATGCCTAGCCTCCAGGCGTTCTCTCGCTATATCAGATCTAGATACACGTGAGTAACAGTGGCTTTGAAACTGGGAATCTTCCTCTTGGCAACAAGAACGAGTTCACTACTTTATAATATGTTTTTAAGAGATCTCAATGGTACTATGGATTAAAGTCAATGTGTATGCAAATTGGTACCTAGCTACTCCATTAGGAGAAGTTCAAAATAAAGCAAATGAGAGGGCTGTTAAAAATAAAACCTCCCATGAGCTTCTCACATTTCTTTGCAGGAAAACTCTGAAAGGGAATAAACTGTGACTACAGTTGGAAGCTGCGAATGTACTTTGTGGTTAACAAATGTGAGTTAATTATTTCCACAGCTGTTACACATATAACTTCTTACACCTCAACAGTTAAATTCAGTGTAGGGTTAACGTAGTTTTAATATACAAGTTCCTCCTCTGATATGAAGATGAGGATTTCGAGGGACACATTTTATTAAATGAAATGAAATAGAGGCAGTAACACGCGGATCTGCAACTAATGCGATTGGAAGCGATTAGACAATGAACTTAACTGTAAATTTGTTGGAGTTGGTAGAAGTTTGAAGAACTGAGGAAGCGATTACCACAGATGTCCTTGCTGAAAACTCTAGACTGAAACGTCCAACATGAAGCAGACCACAGTACATTAAGCTTTACGTTATGCAATCTAAATTGAAAGAAACCGACGTTTCCAGAAGACATAAGAAGACATCACGAGTTGCCGAAAGATATGACACTGTTCGAATACTGAGTGGTGTGTCTAGAAAGCCATAACGGATGTTTTAAGTGTTTCTTGGAGACGTACAATGACGAAAACAACGGATTTGAGGATGTCACATGGTTCTGTCCCGTAGACAACGATTATTAAGTCCACTACGTCGTGTCCAGAGGGTTTGTAGTACCCAGTCATGCCGCTTTAATTTGGCTAAGTGCAATCTCGTGATTCAACCCCCAACACACAATAAAAAGTCTTCTTCATCCACCATCTCCCCCGCTACCATAGCCGCCATTATTGACCATCAGTCTTGATTAGCCACACGTGGGGTCGTGACGTCGATTCCCGGACATGCGCAATGACGGCCTTGGGGTGATACGGACCAATCGCTCGAGTTCTCGCATGCTTTCTCCCCTCCATGGCGGTTAGAAGACCGTCTCACCCCTGTGACAGGGTGGAGGAATGTAGGCACCCCCTCCCTCAGGGGTGCACAAATTTAACGATGATGGGTTTGACTCTGTGACCTTACTAAACTCTTTGTGTATATTCAGTTTAAAACAGGATTAAAATTTTTAAATATTTATATTTCCGAACATAGATGTTATATGAAAGTATTTTGGCACGCCGAATGATTAATGTTCTTATTCAGTTACTTCTTACAAATTTTGAACGTACAGCTTGTTCATTCCTTTCACTTCAAAAGAACCACTAACTCTTGAAGTACACGTATATGAAATTATAGCTTCAGCTCGGGTTTCTACGGATGTGAGACTTGGTACTTCGGTCAGAGTGAAGGCAAGTATTTGAGATGAAAGAGCCGACGAAATGTTTTCGTCTAAAATGTATAAACAAATTTGGAGAGTATAAAATTACACAATGAGCCGCTTAATTGTTTGCAAATATCGACAAATGTTGTTAGAAGATTAAAGAATAATACTCAATTAAGTATAAAAGAAATAAGCAAACTTGTTCAGAAATAAACCTAATGAGAAATAACTTTGAGGAACCGGGTTTATACGTATGAGGACAATATGAAGTTGTAAGCTTAATAATGTTACTAATTTTATAGATATTGTATAGTACACGTGTGGTAAAGGTGATAAATTTAATCAGGTTCTATAAGAACTAATTTCTTGATCAGCTAAGTTAACTAATTNCGGTAGGACTCCTTGGGCGGGTGATCAGCTCGTCGCAAGGCCTCTACCTGTACACAAACACAGAAAAACGCACACAAACATCCATGCCCTGAGTGGGATTCGAACCCACGATCCCGGCTTCCGAGCGAGCGAAGACAGTGCATGCCTTAGACCGCTCGGCTACCGTGACCGGCCAAGTTAACTAATACTTCATGGAAATCCATTACGCATTGTGTCTGAAAGATAATATTGGGGTGCTGCTAGGCCCAGTCTCCAAATACACGAAAAGCATCACCACATTCATAACATACCTTTACATTTCTCAACTCAGATAATTTTATGGACTTCCATCAGCGAGACAGCGAACCAGAGTATTTCTCAAGGCATGTTATGGAAGTGTCTTCCTAGGAGATGAATTGCGGGCAGAGGTTCAGTTCTGTGGCCACATAGGAACCTTGTTTTAACATTACATAGCGCTTCATTTCTACACGGAAAGCATTAAAGGATAGCAAAATTGTTACCGGATCTGGAAGAAATTATAGAATAATTAACCATTGTTTCTCTAGAATAGTTTTGGAAGACGATAGTGAAAAATACAACACGTTGATAAGTGTTTAGAATGAGGCAATAATGACACATATCGTCGTGAATCTCAGATGTTTTAAAGATCTTTTTACAACAGCAAATGTTCCATCGTAGACTATAAACAGAAATAAAATAACAAACGTATTCTATTATTAAGCGAACATTTTGAATCCAGATATCATAGAACAGTCGATCACGATAGCCGAGCGGTCTAAAGCATGAACTGTTGGTTCGAATCCCATACAAGGTATAGATGTTTGGTATGTGTATGCGTTTATTCTGTGTTTGTGTTGTCCTGTGTTTAGGTAGAGGCTTTGCGACGAACCGATCATTCTTCCAAGGGGTCCTACCGTCTGTAAAAATAATCAAAACGAAAATAACCTCGATAGCGTAGTGTATAAGAGGAACAGGCTATATTTTAAGCCACTATCCCGTTATTCGATTTGAGACGCTGGAGAAAGCGACGACAGATCTCACGGTCGTCCGTAAAGCGGCCAAAATTCGAACCGTTTATCTCTAAATGAGGAGAAGGAATTCTATGACCACGCTGTCTTCTGTCCAATTTGAATGTACTGACTCAGAATTTGCTTGCAGAGGATGAGAACAACAACAAATAATCTCAGTAAAATTACCAGATAGCGCAGCCGAATATTAAATTGGGCAAATCCCGAAATTAACACTTCAGTATCACCGAGCGAATGTCTACAGCGATAAGACTCTTGACTCATATTCGAGATTGTCCTGGTTCGAATCTAGGTCTGGATACCTAAAATCCTGACCGAAGGTTTTCTTTGTTTTACCATGTGCCTTCCCAGTTACTGTCTCCGTCCAAATTATTTCCAATTCATCATTAATTCATTATCCTCCCATCTGACGCTATGTGTCCTAGCGACTAACGTAGTAGTAAACTATCCTACGAAATAAGCCTACAGTGTTACTCGCCATATTGCCATGCTCCGTCAGAAACTTCTTGCCGAGAAAGAAAACAATAACAGGAACACGCTTCTCGGCACTAGACTCCAGTCTCGAAATTCTCCGTGGCAGGATACAGAATTTTTACTGATATTGCAATGGCCATTCTTTTTAAAGAGTAACTTTGTAATGTCGCGGAAACTGAGCTTATTGCGCATGCTTGTGTGAGAGGGGTTGGTCCGCGGTTCCGAAATAACAATGCTGTAAAATTCCCGAAAGTAAATGAGGCGCAGGATAAATGACGTCAATAATTCTAAATGGTTATCTTTCCACATATACACATAATTGTCTCAGAAGACCAATTTTGCTTCTGGATAGAATTGACAAAATATTGTAACGTTTATGTTTCTTTAACTGAATGAGTTAACGAGAGAATGAAAACATAGGTCTATGTTCTATTACTTATTCAGGTTTACTATTATTTTATTCTCTCTACCAAATAATATTCTTTGCATATTTTAACGAATGTGATGTGGAAGCCGCCAACATTCAAGCAAACGTTACAGTGACTATACAATTATTACTAAAAAAATCGCCAACATAAAGCAGGCATTGTAGTGACAATGTAATTATTCACTGCTACGCAACGACTCAATAATGAAAGTGTCCACGGAAACAAATCAAGACGAAGCAGTAGCAAAACAGTACACGCAGATGTTCACTACAGCCACAGGCCGCCTCTTCTTCACGGACAGGTTTAGTAAACATCAATTCCTGGTCGACATGGGTTCAGACCTCTGCGTGCACCCCGGCGGGCTCATACCGCGACGTAAAGAACGCGGCAATTACTATCACTGTGCGGCTAATGGCACTACCAACCCAACGTACGGATGGCTGTCCCTCAGCTTCAACATGGGACTATACCGGAATTTCACGTGGCGATTCATAGTGGCCAACGCCACTCGGCCGCTATTTGGTAACGATTTTCTCCCTGATTTCGGCCTCCTAGTGACTGCAAACGTAACCGCTTACTTGGACGACACTCTGATTCTCTACTGTTTCCTCGAGGAGCACGAACAACACCTACGGGCTCTCTTCGACGGTCTTCAGGGGTGCGGTATCCTCACCAACCCGGTTAGGAGCGTCTTCCGAGCACCCGAGGTCACCTTCCTGAGTTTCTTCGATGTTTGATGATAAAACCACGCATTAAACTGTAATAAAAATATTTACTGTAGGTATAGAGAATATGCAGGCAACTTTTAGCCTTCAAATCGTCTCTACATTCTGCATAAGTTCAATAAATATTTGTATAACAGTTTAATACGTGGTTTCTCATCAAACATTGAGAATGCCACATAAACATAAGAAGCACCCCCATATACACACAAAAGTGCCTGCTACTGATGTTCATAGAAATATAGAGTTATTATCATTGGCATTTGGTCATTCCTTATTTTTATATTTGATCGTCTAGCTATTAAACGTTCTAGTCCAATAGTCCGCAGTTTTTCTGGTTCAATAAGCATAAATTATTTACAGTTGGACTTTAAAGCATGTCTGTACCCTTTCTTCGTTACAGGCGGTCATTAGAATAAAAAATAATCTATTCTGATTATTCGATTGTCTGAAAACTCTAATCCATTTGTTCCTTAACCTCAATACAAGTTGTAGTCAATGACCACCCAGTACGCCTTACACTCCTTTTCCCTGCTTTGAATTCTTCACACATCCATAAAATTTCCTGTGGCTTGTACAGCTGCCTCCACACTGAACGGTCCTTCTGTCTAATATAAACGTAGTAGCCATGCTAAATATGCCATATTATTATCACACTAGGCGTAAATAAATTAAGATTAATGTGGTTTATATTTGCCATCATGTTCAATGTTGCCAA